ATTTCTGGCAGCAAACTCCATACTCTGTCCATGTGCTAAAGACATCATGAGATTCTGGAAGAGTGATTTCTTAAATAAATAGAGAAATAAGTCTGAATTGAGAATAGGGAGATGATAAGCGAAGAATTGAAACTGGATTGGAAGAGGTTTTGATATAGTCTGTCTTCCTCTTAATCTAAGGGGAACATCCCCTATTTTAATGAGAAAAGCAGCATTTTCAATTCAGCAACACATAAAATGGGTAATTGCATTTTGTTTATTAATGCAAACTATTTAGCACTATCGGAAAGCATTTACAAATGAATTTCACAGTTCTATTTTTTTTAAAAGCCCTCTTCTTCCCATTTCTAAGATCTACATACGTAAGATATAGTAAAATATTGAACAGTTTTGTTAAAGGATTTTTTTTTAATTATTTTTCTTCCTGTGGTTTTCCAAGCAATGGAAATAGCTAATCACCACATCCTTAGCTACAATAAATAGGCAGGGCTTCTTTGATTTTAATGTAGCAATGCTTAATTCAGCAGAATATCTGGCTATTAACTCGGTAAGATATTTCTTGCAGAGTTCACACTCAAACAGTGTTTCCCTTTCTTCTTTTCTTAGCGTTTTCCTCTCTGGTATGTTGACAGTCAAATGCCTAGGGAGATAATCAGAGACATTATATTGTCTCACCTCCTGTACTCATTGCAGTGGGAGCAATCCAGAGATAATTTTGCTTTCTCGGTGTTTGATTAAGTCACACTCTCGAACACAGACTGTTGCTAACTCTTCCTCTAGTTGGAAGATGGTTTGTGTCTGGAAGCCTAAGAAGTCATGTGAGCTTCCAACGTCTGATCATGAAATTTTGCCCTTTCACGAGATCTTTTGTAATTATGGACTTTTAAAAGACCATAATATCCATACAAGACCATAAGCTACTACAGTGCCATTTTCCTTTAAAAATGAGTAAATAAATGCAGTAAAAGAATTTTTAGAAGTAACTGCTCTCTTCAAAGTAATATTCAGGAATATATGTCTCTGGAGCTCAATTGCCAGATACATTTTGACAATCTTTCATTTCAAAATGGCTTTCTCTTGTCATGCAAAGCTGGAAATCAATCATCAGATGGGATTCTAAGCTGAGATCCCTCCAATTTCAGAGGAGGGATGTGGGTCTCTCAGGCAATGATTTTTATTTTTCTCTGCTTAAATAGGAGAGAAATGTGCTGCTGCTGACATGGTGTGAGTGTGAATGGGTTGGCTTTATTGACTTGACTGAGACATCACTGTATTAAAAAAAAAAACAAGAGAGAGAGAAGATACACCTATTGCATCTGTTGACTGGTTCACTCCAAAGCCACATGTAACTATCTGCCAGGATGCTGTAACTGCTATTTGAAAGGGACGTTTTCATTTTGATCAGTTCTGACTCTTTGCTCCACAACCCCTTTGACTCTTTTCTCTGCATTGAGGAACCCCATTGTCCTTGTATTGTCTTTACTTAAATATAGAAAATGTGTCCTCAGCCTCCCTCACATCGTCTTCCTTTTCTTTCTCCATGAAAGCTTGTAAGGCCCTTCATCAAGTTTAAATCACCCATAAAACTGCAAAAACGGTGGAGTCAGGCTGGCTTTGCAAAATCTGAGGATGGAGCTCAAGTATATTATGGTTCACCAAAAGTTATTTCCAATTGAACAACACGCAAATGGACAGTGATGGATTTTTCCTGCTCCTAGGACTGCCTTCAAGGAATGCCAAGGATGTCAAGGATGTCAAGGTACTGACATCCAAAAGTATTTTTTGTAACAGGTTAGTAAGGTTAGTAGCAGATGCCCACCCGCCTTGTCAGCTCTCCCACCAGTAGACAAAGGCCTGTGTATCCGTGTTCATGTGAAAACTGCTCTTTTGATAGGCATCACTTAATTTTGCAGGAAGACAAATGCTCATTTTCTTCTCGGGTTTATAAAAATGAACAGAAAAAGAAGTCATTTTATTTTGTTATTTTCTTTTTTTCTTTATATATTTATATATATATATACAAACAAGCAGAAAAAGGGAAAATATCCCCATTTGTGACTTAAACACAAAATATAAAGGTCCTTTTGTTGTAAGCTCATTGAAATAGAGTCTCTGGATGATTGTTGATATTAATCAGTGTTTTGGCCTTGCTTTTTAAAAGATGAAAGCACAGGCTGAAGATGTCTATCGACAGTGTGCTAAGGCTAAATTAGCAGTTATAATAGTTCTTCTGGTGCATGAGCAAGCATACTGGGCAACTAGAGAGGACATCTTCATTAAATCAACATACAGCTTTGCCACTCACAGAGCCTCAGCGTGGTGAACCAGGAGGTAACAAGCAGCTAGGCATCTCTATGAATAAAATGGTTATGATTTCTTTTAATATCTACATGACAACTCATAGTTAATCCTTTGACCTTCATAACGTTATAGCAGCATATTAAGAGGTATTTATTTACCTAAAATGTATTAAAAGCTATTTAATTGTGAAAAGATAGAGGAAAGGTAGAGTACATTCAGAGTTCAGGAATGCTGGCACAGCTGCTCACATTTCATGTCAATGACATTAAGCAGTGCCAGATACAGTACTTTTCTTAACTGCTTGTACATTGGATTTAATGTGCCCTGGTGAAATGCTAAACGCTATTAGCTGACAAAAAAAAATCCACCTCAGAGAAGTTCCTGCAGGATCAAATAACCTCCTGCACTGAGGGCTGCATGATACTGGTCAATGTGATAAAAATACACTGATAAACAGTGATAAAGTCACCTTTTTTAAGTTGACAGCCACTCGATTCAGTTATCGCATGTTTCTGTTGTGACTGGAATTTGGATCAGATGTGTGAGAAAAATGCCTGGAATCACATATGCCAAGGACCCATGAAACTTCTGCAACAACATTTTTGGCACAGGCTGTGTCAAGCATTGAAGGAGGGCCAAGCAAGAGCTGAGATGGAGACAAGTTGCTAATTTCTGTTGTTTTTTTTTTTCTATTCTCCAGTGCTACAAATAAAACCAATTAGTCTTTAACTAATAAGAAATCCATAAAAATCGTAGTGTAAAGGGTGTAATTCCTTACAAGGCCCTCATATTGGTCTAATTTAGCAAGCAGTGTCACACTCCTTACTTAAAAATACTCAGGAAAACAGACTGAGGAAGAGTCCGCATCACTGGAACTGCTTCTGTCTTTCAGCTATTTTACAATTCATCTGTGTAATTATTACTTCAGACTGTCCAAAAAAACCTTTAAAATATGGGAAGAAATTTGAAGATGTGTAACCTACTAAAGGATTGCATACGTAGCTCTCATCTCTTGCAGATCCATTGGAAGCTAATCTTCCACACTAAAAAGTTACATAGAAAAATGCAGGGTGATGTATATACATTTTCCACTGACTGTCTTCTTATGGAACACTGAGCTTCTGACTGAACCAAATGTAATGTGAGAAAAGTGACAGTTGTCTGATATTTTTTTAAATCTTTTTATCAAAAACCTCTATCTCCCAAAGCCTAGAGTAAAGGTTTTTAGGTGAAAGACAAAAATACTCATTCAGCAATGCCAAACAAAGCTTCCTATGAGTTTCTTCTGCCCCATTTTCACCTTCAGGCCAGGTGGCCACAAGGACTCCTACTGTATATTGCATGAGTTTATCACAAGAGCATACCGTGCTGCTTAATGGGAAATGCAGTCTACCTGGAGAAAACAAGATCATGAAGCAATCACACTACAAAACTGTACACGAGTTACTGGGGAACCATTTTTCTGAATTCACGTTTTTCCAAAATAATACCCATTGTCCAGTTGCATGTATTCCTGTGCAGCCCTGGCTATAGTATATCCACTTCATGGAATTCTCCATTCCCTAAGGAGCATGTTTTCTGGGAAACAGTTTGATGTAGAGAAAGAACCTTAAGAATGGAGCATACTGTGCTTGAGACTTGTGTTTGGGTACATCTGTATTGGCATAAACCTCAGGATTTTGCAGTATGGTAAGTAACTGGAGCCCTTGTGTGCAGCCCAAGTCTACCTGTATGTCTGCAGAAAGATGCTAGCTGAAACAGAATCTCACCTGGCAAGAGTGTATGTGACCAAACAGATTGGCAGCAGAGCCTGGTTGCCATTTTGGATCTGATGCAGTGGAAGAAACCATCATGGTATATTAGTAAGAAAAGTTAACTTGTTAACAAATTTCCATTGTTTAATACTTTTGAAGACTATCTATTGCCTCCTTTATGGGGTTTGCCTTCTTCAGATTGTCTCCTTATGCACAGGTTGTCTTACCTACTTACAGTCTCTGCTTTTGCAGAGTTTTAGGGCACACATCTGATTTCTAAATGTGTATTGCTGATTTCCAACACATTGAACCAAGAAATTGATTACCTAAAGTATGAAAACTAAAACTACATATGAAATGTAGAAAAATTACAGATCTATTTTATGCCATAAACATTGTGTAATTGAAACCCTAACCCATTACCCTTTGAAGGCAGTGAAGGAGAATTCTCTCTGATTTCAGTGAGCTTTGAATCTAAACCTAAGACTACAGCATGAATTTTGTATATTTTTGAAT